ATTTTTATTTATTTTTAAAAGATTTTTAAAATTTATTTGAGAGACAGGACACAAGCAGGGTGAGCGGAAAGCAGAGGGAGAGGAAGAAGCAAGGCTCCCTGCTGAGCAGGGAGCGCCTCGAGGGGCTCCATCCCAGGACCCTGGGATCATGACCTGAGCCCAAGGCAGACACTTAACCCACTGAGCCACCCAGGCGCCCCTACTCTTATTTTTTAAAGTGAGTTCTGAATTGGAACCAAGAGTTCTGCCTTTATTTCTGTACCTAATGAGCTGGGTGACCAGTGGGCTTCACTCATTCTTCAAAGGTGACCAAGTCCTCACCTATGAAACAAGACAACTAGACAAGTTTGTCCCACTCTAAAAACTATAGCGTTCTGTCGGTGTATTTTGAAATTCCTTAACTCACTGGAATCAAGGACTGTGACCTTCAAGCTGAAAGCCCCGGGGCACAGAGCGCCTGGTGGCCCTCAAAAAACGTGTGGGTCAACTGATGTGTGTGGTCTGGAATGCGGACACTCAATTAATATACTTCGTTGCATATGCATTTTCCGTTTCATACTCAACACATCTGACGTGATCATTCTGCTATGTTTAAAATAAAAAGCAATGTGCTCCTTGTCAGTGTCGTCCCTTCCGGAAACCAATCTCTTGGGACATCACTGATCACCGCCTCTCCCTCCCCATCTGCCACATTCCTAACTAGCCAGAAAAGCATTATAAACTCAGCAACCTCAACGTTTAAAGAACGCCTTTAAAAAATCACTGTGAATGTTTCGAGCAACAGTGTCCAGCAACCAAAGGAGCGGGGAGGAGTGAGGGGCCCCTGTTGGGACTCGCCCGGCTATCTGCCCCCCACATGGATCACCCACTAGGGGACACCCCCCCCCCGGGCCTCTCGAGTCCCCGCACGCCCCGCCGCCGCGGAGCCTCCCAAAGCCAGAGCCCAGGACCCCACGCCAGGACGGAGGAGGCCCGGCCGGTACCTGGCGGGTAATACCGGAGCAGGAGGCTCTTAAGCTTCATTTTCTCCTTCCCGGGCCCCCGGCCAACGCTCTTCGTAGCCGTGGAAACGGCCAAACAGCTGCGGGGCTTCGGCGCGCATGCGCGAGCTTCCAGGGCGCGGAGCTGGGCGTGCAGGCTTCCGGGGTGCGGTCTGCGGCGCGGGCGACCCCGGGAAGGTTGGGGGGCGTCGGCCCGGCGAGGCGCGGCCAGGGAACACGCCCCGCCCCTGCCGGCGCCTACACCTGCCTGCTTGTTCGCAGGGGCGGACGGGGGCTCCAGGGCGCGTCGCCGAAGAGAGCGTTGCCACCCTCGCTCCTTCTGCACCGTCGGTGCCTGGGCCGGGCAGGGACGGGGTGGCGGGGGCCTCGCGTCCCCAGTCAGGGTGACCTCACAAGGGGCGAGGCGCGGCCGGGGAGGGCGAGGTGCGGGCCGCTCCCACTGTGGCCCATTGAGTTCCCAGGGAGGAGAGACGGGAGAAAAATCCCCTCCGGGTCACCATTCCCTGCCTCTCCTCCAGCCCTGTCCCTGTCCCCACAAGAGAATTAGAACCACAACGTAAGAGGCTACATTTCCTGACGCTGTGCGGTACGCTGCGCTTGGCGCCTTATACACCTGTAGCTGTAGAGACCAACAGAGGTTCGAGATGTGCACCTTTTCTTCCCGCCCCCTCTCACGGATGGGACAACCCAGAATCAGAAAAAGTGAGACAACCCTCCTCTCCCCAGCTAGCGAGCCGCGGAGGCGGGATGGGAAGGCAGGTGTGTCAGAAGCCTGTCACCTGGAGCCCACACGGTACTGTCCACCCAGGGTTTAAGGCTTTCCGGACATTTTTGTGGCCTGTTCTGTTTCTTGCCAGAATCGGTTCTTTGCCTGCCAAGTCCAGTTCCCGTGAGGAAGACGGGCCGGCCGGGAAGAATCAGTGGGGCCAGACTGTCCATTTCCTTTAAGGACTTTGGCCTAAATTCCAAAGTCGGAATTTCCCCAAAGGTAAGCGCTTCCTCTGTGGTCTTCACAACTGTGGGCCACGTCCACTCATCGCTTCCATGCCCCTGTACCTAAAAGTTTTCCTTGAGTTCTTACAATTCCTCCAAATTGACTCACTTATTTTACCTCACGTTTTTAAATGCAAACTTGAAAGGAAATTATTGTTAATCCTGTAAATTAGAATTTTACCCAATTTTTGATGAGGAGCAGCAGGTAACTGTAAAAATAAACATGATTTTTAAAATGCTATTGAATGAACCTACACTATTGCCTACCAGAGACTATGAACCAAAGGCCTTCCCTTTCTTACCAAAAAAAAAAAAAGTAGGAAAAATCAACTATTTGAAATTTTCAAGACAGCCTAGCACCCAACTGAGCCTTTCTACTTCATGTACACAGAAGTTTGGAGAAATCACTGAAATGGGAGACCCTCTGCTATGGTGTGAAACAATTAAGCCTAATACAAATGGGAAGACATAAAAATCATAGCTTCCCACGCTTGGGAAACAGAAAAACAGACAAAATCTAAGATTCCTTCTAGCTCAAAGTCTCCCCTAATCATTAAGACTCTGGAAGAGGTTTAAGTGGGGAAGGGCAAAGAGGTCATCTATAGAAACAAGGACGTCTTGGGGCTCCTGAGTGGCTCAGTCAGCTAAGTGTTGGACTCTTGGTTTCCCCTCAGGTCATGATCTCCGGGTCATGCATGATCTCGGGGTCATGGGATCGAGCCCCGCCTTGGGCTCCTGCTCATCGTGAAGTAGGCTTGATATTCTCTCCCTCTCCTTCTGCCCCTCCCTCAGCTCTCTCTCTCTCTCTCTCTCTCTCAAATAAAATAAATAAAATCTTAAAAAAAAGAAAGAAGGAAGTCTTTAGTAGATTTTGTTCACCCATTTACTGTTTATGCTTGTGACATTTTAAATGAGGCCTTTGAAAGAATAGTAACTTTACAATGGAGAAAACCAGTAGACACCGTTTAACCACTGGGATCAAAGTTTACATCCCCAATGTAGGGACAAACTGACATTCATACACCTCCTAATACAATCCAATGACAAGAACACAGCAATTCTCTGGAATTCCTGCCTGCAAAGCATTACCTGTCTCTAATCATGAGGAAACATGAGGACAACCCAAATTAAAGAAGTTGTACAAAATAACTGTCAAGGTCAAGAAAAAAAAACAACAATGAAAACTGCTTCAGATTAAAGGACACTAAAGACATAGAACAATTAAATGCACTGAGTGATCCTGGGTCCTGAACCAGGAAGAAAATAAGCTGTAAAGGACATGATTGGGACAATTGGGTGAGACATTGTGGTTCAGATTATATTGATATTATATCAATATTAAGTTTCCTGATTTTGATCATTGCACTGTAGTTATATAAGACAATGTCCTTGTTCTTAGAAAAAAAAAACACTGACTTATTTAGAGATAAAGGGGTATTTTATCTGCAATCAACTCTCAAATGGTTTTGAAAATTTTTGTTTATGTGTAGGTGTGTGTGTGTGCACACGTGCATGTGTGTGTTTGATATGTGGATGAATAAGAAACAATAAAGCCACTGAGAAAAAAAAAATGTTGAATCCAGCTAAGCAAAGGGCTCCTTTTGAGAAGTTCCTTGTCCTATTCTTGCAACTTCTCCAAAAGTTTGAAATTACTGCAAAATAAAAAGTGGCCTTTGTTTTCCACAGAACAAGCCAGGCTTCAGAATCTTCCAGGATATAGATAACCACCACAGAACCATCTGGTTCCACGTTTGTTAAGAGAGCTCCAAGTTCAAGTTCACTCCCTGCTTCACCCCTAATTTCACCTACACCTTCCTCTAGTTATGAGACCAAGAGCCTCCACCACTGTTACCTATCTATCCTCCACCACTCCCTCCATTTCCAGGAGTTCCTGAACTTCCTAAGTGGCTCTTGTCTTTCTGTTCCAGGTAAAGGATTTCTCCTACTCCCTTGAACCAAACTTTAACAGGTTGTCCTTTCGCTTATTAAAAAAAGAATTCCAGCTCTGCAGCTTTTGACATCCTTCCCTTGGCTCAAAGAGTTTAAGCCAAGTTCTCCCACATAAGTTAGAGAACTGCCTCACCATCTCCATGTCACATCCAGAGCCCTCTTTACAGACTCTGGGGCACAGGTCCTTGGTGTAGAAGTCCCATCTTCCCACAGCCCATGCCCACCAGGGGTCAGCAGCCCTCACCTCTGTCTTAACTTGAGAGTCATTTATCCAGATGTGGAAGCACCCTGACTGTCCCAACGTTCTCTCACCGTTTCTCCCTAACACCTAGATACTCTTTGCTGATAGGATTCCTAGTATACTGACTTGACAGCCCAGAATCCTGTCACAGGTACCCAATGTAAGTCCCCCCACCCCCCTTTTTGGGAGGCAGTAGGCTTGTATGCAAATGAAGTGGTGATCCAAAGAGAAGCAAGTAAAGTTCATGAGTGTGGGCAGATTTCTCTTTTGGCCTTGGCTTACATTGAGGTGAAAGCTATGCTCATTTACTCATTCCTGGAAGGTGCTGCGTGACTCTCTCAACCTGAGTAAATGTCTATTTCGTGCTAACTTACCCCCAGTGCAGAGCCATTAGCCATAAATGATGTACAGAAATCTACAAAAACAAAACTCCTACATTGCCCAGGTGATGGGTGCTCATCTCAGTGTCTGGCAGACTTGGTATGACTTCCTCACAGGACTACTTTAGAGACCTTTCTAAAAGTTGTATCATACTTTTTCATTAATTCCTGCCATTCTGTGTTGATTTGACCATTGACCCACTAGAGGAATAATCGGCATTCATAATGGATTTGTATATATAAAAGTAACATTTGACTCTGGGTTTCTTCCTGCTGACACCTGCCTTGAACAACCAGAAACTCAAAAAAAAAAAAGAATTAGTAGCATTAACTTTACTCCCCAAACTAATTCTGTCTGGTGGATTGAAGCCATACTGGGTTTCCATTCTCAGTGTGTCCCTGGACCAGCAGCATCAGTCTCACCTGGGAACTTGCTAGAAATGTAAATTCTTGCCCCACCCTACTGCCTACAGAATCAGAAATGCTGGTAGCAAATACCCAACAATCCATGTTTGAACAAGTTTTCTGGTGATTCTGGTGAACAATAAAGTTGAAAACCACTCAGTATATATGGTATAATATGTTACAATGGCTTGGCCAAGACTGAGTGAAGGTGGGCACTCTCCCCCTACCATCAGGCCTTTTATGTATTCTGAAGTCTTCCCTGATCATCAGGGACAGTAAGCTGCTCGCTCAGTCATATCCGAGGATGTGAAGAGAACCCAGAAACAGTGTGGGAAGAAACTGGAATTCTCTACATAATTGGGTTTTGGAGTCTCCAATGTGCTGAGGGACACCAGTGGATACCAGAGTGTGAAGGAAGGCTGGGGGTGGAGGAATGTCTACAAGTGGGAGAGGGAAAGAAGGAGGGAAAGAAGGACCGAGGGAGGGAGCCAGGAGTCAGCCTGGAGGATCTGGCTCAGCACTGAGGTGAGACCAATGGGCAGGAATGCGGTTCCAGCAGGACATGGTGGTTCCCATTTGACCCAGTTCCTCCTGGAAAGAGCCATGGCATCAATGGGAGACTATAATCACTAGTTTGGGGGGCACCCATTGAAAGCAGTACATAGAAAAGAGAGGTACCGTTGCCTCCTGGAAAGCAGGTACAGAGAATGAGATCTGAATGTTCAGAGACCGGCAGGAGAGGTCAGCTGTGCCTCCCAGGTCATGGGATCCCAGTACAGCAACCCCAGAGGAGCCGCATCCGGGCTTTTGAAACTTCTTCCCATTTCTGCCTCCGCATCACTGAAGGACTTGTGGAGTACCTGATCTCATCTGGGACCAGAAAACCAGTGGCGCCAGGGGCCACTAATTGATTTACTAAGTATATATAGAGGGCCTACCAGTGCTAGGCATGTTTCAGGTACAAGGGATCTAATTCTGAAAACAGTAATTTGGGGGAAGTCATTCCTAGAAAGGATCAAATTTCAGGTGGGTTTGAAACGATTGTGTTTATGGAGTGGGGGGCATGTCCCTAAGTAGGAGGACTGCATTTATGATCAATGAGGGACTGCTCCTGGGGCAAGCAGGCCACATGAACAGGGCTGGTCCACAGTAGCTTCTGCCACTAAGAGCAGCATGCCTGACCTGAGACCTCGCTCTGCCACGTACCAGACATGTGCTCTTAGGCAAGATCCCTAACCCCTAAGGCTTCAGTTTCCTCATCAGAAAGATAAGAATGATCCCAGCATCAAGTTAATGGGGTTGTTATCTCTAAGTCTGGCTTGTTCAGAAACACTC